CTTGCCAGGCAAGTGCTTATTGTACTGAGCTTTCTCCCTGACCCCTGGATTTCTTCTCAAAGCAGATGCCATGTAGACATTGAGCTACTTAATTATTTTTCACATATGATTTTCAATTTGAGTCTGCAAATATATGGCAACATAATTGTAGTCTGCATATTCCTTATCACAGCATTTGATCCAACCAGTTAAATGTTCTGTTGTCACTCTTTCCCTCTTCTTTCCACTGGCATTCAGACTATGTGGTGTGGAACCCTGGGAGTTCTTGAATGTACTCCAAGGACTAGTTGAGGAATGTGGGTGCCGACACACCCACTTCAGCAGACCTTTGCCCTCTGTTTATTGGGGTTTCACTCAGGATTCCATGTAAAAACAGTTCCTCTGCTATACCATATTGACCACTGCTTTTCAGACCATGTTTTGCTGAGTTAGAATTCCAGTCTTGCGTGTCCCTTGTAAACATAGCAGTTGTACCTCAGGGCTGCCAGCTGGGACCTTGATAACATCTGTGTGTTAATACGGGCCCAGAATGAGGTGCCAGCCTCAGGTCATCTTGTAGCATAATCTACTTCAGATTCCTTTCTCTGGCTCAGTAGTGAGATTGGTTGGAGGAAAGCAACACTCTAGTCATAAGGGCTGGTCTCCCTTCTCCTGTCCCTCCTTCTCATAGGGCACTGTGACAACCTTTGTAGGTTTTTGAAAGGAAATATTTCCAACCATAGAATGTAAGCTTTGGCATCTTATTTCCCACTAATAAATTCAACTTTTACATGGCATTACCTAAAACTACAAGGAGTTTTGAAGCTTATATTCACAGTGTTGTACAACCATCACTTCTGTCCAGCTCTAGAACAATGTCATTACCCCAATGGAAACACATTCTCATTGTCACCTCTTGTGCAGATGCTTCTGCACTCCAACATGAGTGTTTATGACCAGGAAGGGCCAGATCTTTAAGGCCATCTGTTGCCTACCCTCCAGCCTAGCAGCTACATTTTCAATCTGTTTTTTTCCTTGTTGATAAAGGAACAATGTCCTACTCATAATACCCCACAGTATGTTTGAGTGAAATTAAGTCATTCAGTAGTCATTTATTTCTTAATGAAACAACTCAACTGTTTTGCTCATTTAACCTTTTCCTTGTTCCTTTAATCATTTTTCTTTTTTTTTTTTTTTTGGTTTTTGTTTTAAATAGTTCTTTTTTTCCCCATAATTTTATTGAGAAACAAATAGCAATGAGACAGTTTCAAACCAATTTGGTAGGACAGTTTCAATAATTCACACATTGCATACATTCTTCCTAGTGGTTAATTGCTGTACAAGATGCAGACAT